GAAGAACTCCAATTTATTTGAAACTCTGCATTTCAAACCCTAAACCCTAAACCCTAAACCCTAAACCCTAAACCCTAGCCCTCGGCCCCAGACCGCGAGGGTTTCGGGGCCCCGTAGCGCAGCGACTCATGAATTCCCGCAGCCTTTGGAGCGGCGGGCCTTCCCTCTCAAACCCTAACCCGCAGCCCCCAAACCCTAAACCCTAAACCCTAAACCCTAAACCCTAAACCCTAGACGCCCGGCATGGCGCGCAGGAACTGCGTGCCCGTCATCTGCCACCTAGACCTCGTGGGTCTTCTTTCCCTGAAGCCCCTCAGCTAGCTGCTTGGCTAGCTAGCTAGCCGCTGGCTAGCTGGCTAGCTAGCTGGCTAGCTAGCTGGCTAGCTGGCTAGCTAGCCAGCTAGCTGACTGCTGCTGCTGCTGCTGCTGCTGCTGCTGCTGCTGCTGCTGCGTTCAGGACTGCTTCTACTGCCAGGTGGAGCACCGCCGCCTGGGCATTCCGCGAGACCAGCCCTTAGCCGTGCAGCAGGTGGGCCCTAAACCCTAAACCCTAAACCCTAAACCCTAAACCCTAAACGCTAAACCCTAAACCCTAAACCCTAGCCCTGCTTGCTCGCTGCACTCCCCTCTGTCTGGCCCTGGCGCTGCAGCCGTCTTAGCCTGCTGGCCCGCCTCTGGCCTCCACGCCCAGCCGCTGCTGCTGCTGCTGCTGCTGCTGCTGCTGCTGCTGCTGCTGCTGCTGCTGCTGCTGCTGCTGCTGCTGCAGTGGGACAACGTCATAGCTGTGAACTACCCCGCGAGGGCTTGCGGCGTCAAAAGGGGCCAAAGAGTCGAAGCTGTGAAGGCCCTTTGCCCCCAAATAAAGTTAGTGCATGTGCAAACCCTAGCTGCTGCTGGGGGGGCCGGCGGGCGCGAGGTGCGCTAGGGTTTAGGGTTTAGGGTTTAGGGTTTAGGGTTTAGGGTTTGGCCGTTCGGGCGAAGGGTGCGGCCCCGCGGCCGGCTGCCCGCCGCGGAGGCTGTTCGCCGCGCGCGGCGAGGGTTTAGGGTTTGGGAGCCAGGGCTCGCGGCCTCGCACTAGGGTTTAGGGTTTAGGGTTTAGGGTTTAGGGTTTAGGGTTTGTGTGGGGCGCTGCCGCGCAGCCTAACTGGAGGGCGGAGAAAGTGACTCTGCAGCGTTACCGGGACGCCTCTGCGGAGGTGAGGGTTTAGGGTTTAGGGTTTAGGGTTTGGCGCGCGGCGTTGTCTTCCAGCGAGGGCCTAGGGTTTAGGGTTTAGGGTTTAGGGTTTAGGGTTTAGGGTTTGGCGTTCAGGTGTTTTCTCTGCTGCTCGACCACTGCCACTCCGTAGAGAAGGCCTCCATAGATGAAGTTTATATGGACTTGACTTTGCATGCAGCAGCAATTATTCTTTCCCTAGTAAACGAGGGGCCCCCCTCAGACGGCGAGGGTTCGGGGGGCCCCCCGGGGGGCCCCTCGGGGGGCCCCCCGGGGGCCCCCTCCGCAGCGGGGGCCCCTCCAGGGGGGCCCCCGAAAGGGTCAAAGAGGGCAGCATCAGCCTCTCCTCTGGGGCCCCCCTCAAGCCCATTAGCCTCACGGGGGCCCCCCCGGGGCCCCCAAGTAGGGCCCCCAGAGGGGCCCCCAGAGGGGCCCCCAGAGGGGCCCCCCGGGGGGCCCCCAGAGGGTCCCAGGGAGAGCCAGGGGGGCCCCCCTGTTGGCCTGGAGCCGCTGCCCTGTGCGGGCCAGTGGGGCCCCCAGCAGCAAACGCCAGGGGGCCCCCCAAGTCCCAACTGCAGCAGAGAAGAGCTGCCTAGGGGGCCCCGGGGGCCCCGGGGGCCCCCAGAAGGGCCCCCCGGATCCTCCCCTGGCGGGGCCCTTGGGGGCCCCCACGGGGGCCCCTCCGAGGGTTCAGCGGGGGCTTCTCCGGGAGAGCCCCCTGGAGACCCTTGTGGGGCCCCTTCTGGGAAGGGGCCCCCTGGAGGCCCCCGGGGGGCCCCCCGGGGGGCCCCTGAGGTGGGTTTTGAACCCTTGAGGGACACTTCAGTGCTGCCTTCTTTGGAGCAGCAGCAGCTGCTGCTGCCGAGTCTGCGGCGGCGGCTGCTGCGGCGGTTTGGCCTCAGCAACCCCCAAGTCCTCAGAGCCACTGCAGCAGCAGCACGCAGAAGGCCCCCCCAGCTGGTCAGCAGCAGCCAGCAGCAGCAGCAGCAGCAGCACCAGCAGCAGCAGCAGCAGCAGCAGCAGCAGCAGCAGCAGCAGCAGCAGCAGCAGCAGGAGAGCGCTGCAGCTTCAAGCCCGCCCCAAGGCACCTCGCAGCCCCCAGGGGGCCCCCAGGGGCCCCCCTTGGGGGCCCCTCAGGGGCCCCCCGTGGCTGCTTGTGGGGCTGGGGCTGCCCCAGGTGACCAGTGGTCACCTAGGTCTCGCGCCAGTGGTCCCCAGCGCCTGGGGGGCCCCCCCTCCACTGGGGGCCCCCCCCCCCCCGGGGGGCCCCCCCTCCCGGCGGCCCCT